TAATTTCAGTTTCTGAATTTAAGCTCTTTAATGAAATTAAAATTTATTAACATACAGAGATTAAAAAAAAATACATTTTTACATAATGATGGCGTTTGCTTTTAATAATATCGCTAAATGAATAATTTAGTGATGTTTGTATCGTAAAACGTCACTAAAAGTAACGGCACTCTTACTAGTAAACGTCGCTAGTAAGTGGCATTTTTGATACAAACATCACCAAAGCAATGGTGTTTTTCTCATAAAAATAATACTAAAGTAACGACGTTTCAAAGATACAAATGCTGCTAATATAGAGGTATTTTCAAATACAAATACCTCTAAAGTAATAGCATTTTCATTTACAAATGCCACCAAAACAATGACGTTTTTCTCATAAAAACGCCACTAAATTAGTGGTGTCTCAAAGATACAAACATCGCTAAAATAGAGGTATTTTAAGATACAAACACCTTTAAAGTAAGACATTTCAGTTATAAATGCCACCAAAGCAACGACGTTTTTCTCATAAAATGTCACTAAATTAGCGATGTATCAAAGATACAAATGTTGTTAATATAGAGGTATTTTCAGATACAAATGCCCCTAAAGTAGTTGCATTTTCAGTTATAAATGCCATAAAAGCAATAGCGTTTTTCTCATAAAAATGCAACTAATTTAGAGGCGTTTCAAAGATAAAAACGCTGCTAAGATGGTCGTATTTTTTTGAAAACGTCGCTATTTTTTATGACGTGTGTATAACTAACACTCTGAGTGACATTTTTCGCGAACACCGTAAATCTTTTAGTGGTATTTATAAATGTTGCTAAACGTTAAAAAAATGCCATTAAAAGCCTAAACTCCTGTAGTGCATATATTATTCATATGACAAAGAATAAAAGGTTAAAAATGATGATGTCTTTTTCACATGCCTCTTAATTAAATATTGGATGAAAGGATGCATCACTTTTGCATTCTTGAAAATGAGGGCAAAAAAAATGGTGTGTGATTTAATTTTATTAAATTAAGGTCATGTTTGGTATGTAAAATTATGATAGGATATGATAATATGATATTACGAATATGATTAGATTAAATAATGTCATCATATCTTATATTTGATGTGTGCAAAGATTACGATAGGTTAATTTATTTATTGATCAAAATTATCCTTCCTTAAAATTTATACAATTAAATTATTGATGTAAAATTTAAAAGTATAATAAAAAATATAAGTTTAATCCCGTAGATTAAAAATAATCCTTTTGATTTTGAGAGGATTGAATCATCTTATATGAAGAAGATGATAATCCTCTTTATAATCATATTCCTTTTAATTAGATATAACCCCAACATAATATAAAATAATTATCATACTATTTTATTCATCATCCTATACACCAAATATAATCCAAAAGTCTATTAAAAATCACCGTGTAAAATTAATGAGATCATAGGTTATGTCTATAGATCAAGCATTACTCTAATTGGCTAATAATTAAAAAAGTTTTCTTGTTAAATTAGACAATCAATTGTTTTATTTAATAGTGCATGATTCTCTAACAGACCTAATAAAAAATTTGGTTAAGAGATCTACAATATTTATATCTAATAAACATATATTTTCATCATTTGTTGTTTATAATTGTGACATGTGGACTGCCATATATGCAACCTTTTTATTTACCATGTAAGACTATTAAGTTGCAATATATTCAATTTAAGTTGTCATGTCATTCAACCTTAATTATCCCTCTTTTATGTTTTTCCTTCTTTAAGGTTTAAAAGTCAAGAATGCTTCATTTTCCATTCTTGATCTACTACCTCCTCACTATTTGTATTCATTTTTCATTTATTTCAAAAAAAAATTATTTTATTTCCACATTCAAGAGACAATGAATCTTCTTTATAGCTTGAGAGGAGATGAATTTTTCATGTAAATAATCGATTCTCTCTTACTTATTATTATCTATTTATTACTTTCAATTTTCATTTAAAAAAAATTCACTCATCTAACATTTGATTGTAAGTATAAATATTTTTTCACTTAATTTTTAAAAAAATTTGTTTTCTATATTAAAAAGTTTGTGGGTACATTCATCCATATAAGTGATATCTTAAATAGATATTGATTGCCAAATTCTAGGTCATAACTTTTTATCTTTTTCTTCTCCCAAATTCCATTTTGTTTCTTGCATTTGTTGTTAAAAACATAATTCTCCCCTTCTATTGAAACTTGAAAACAAAACAATTTTCTCTTGGTTTGAAGAATCCATTTGAACAAAAAAAAAAATCCATTGTTTTAGAAGGAATCACCAAATTTAGAATTTGTTTAACAAATTATCTAACCACCTATTTTTTATTCAGGTTATATGTAATCTCTTTTACGATATATGTATGTTTATTTCTTTTCTCAATTATGAAAACTATATTTTTCTTATATTATCATTAGATTATAGTTTTGATTTAATAGTAAAGATTTTAATGAAAAAAATGTGAAATAAATCACAACAATTGATTATTGACTTTTTTTTCTAATTTCTTTTATTTTTTGAAGATGAAATAAGTTAGGGATTTTATTTGAGTTTGTGGGTTAGTTTATAACTTAGTTAAAATTCATTTGACTCTTTTGATAGTAGAAAAGATGACATTTTTTATTTCTATTCATTGTGACTTTTTTATTTTTAAAATTTATGAGATATTTGAAATGCATCGAAAGGGTGTTCATATTTATTTTGCCTTTTGAAATATATTTTATTGTTACAATATATATTAGATAATAAAATGATAAACCACAACAATGTTTAGGTTGCTATCTTGTAATATTTTTATTTTTATTCACTATATTTAAACCTTAAATTTTTATTATTCATGATTTTTTTAAGAATGTTATAAATTCATTCTTACAAATTAAATAAAATAAGTCATGTCAATATCACGTGGAAACATAAATTTAAGTTAAATATAAAAAAGTTTACCATATTTTTTCATATGGTTTATGATAATTTAAAATATAAAACGATGATATAATACGAAAATAATATGAAAAAAAAAGACACAAAAGTAATACGTTATAAAATTTTAATAAAAAATTATATATGAATTTAACAAAATAAAAAAAATCATATTTTCTTATTAATATAAATTGTAACATATAATTATTGTGTAAAATACGATACGTATATATAAATTGCTATTATTTTACATAATATAAATATAAAAATTATCAATTTTACATATGGTTACGCAAATAGATATACAATCGACTCTGAAGTAACATATTTTGTCAAATTTTAATGATGGTTGACAAAATGAATAAATTTAAAACATTTTTAAAAAATTGTAGATAAAAATATTAAATTTTAAAAATCATAAATAAAAATAAAATATTACAAAGAAGTAATATATGTATAATATAATTTATAGGCCATCGTTGCTTTTAGTTATACAAGATAAAGATTCATTATGACTTTGAGCAGTGTATTCACTAAGAAAAGAAAAAGAAATTTAAAGTAATACTAGAATTGAGATGATAACGAGTTTTTGTCCGTTTTTATTTTGATTTGATTTTTAAAATATTTAATTCGATTCTAACATGACTCTACATTGGATTATTATTTTTTATATTCGATTTCGATTATATATATAATTTGTGTCCGACTCACATTTTATTTAAAATTAATTTAATATAATGAATATAAAATATTATTTTTTAAATATAAATTATATTTTAATTATATAAAAATATAATATTTTATTAAATTCATATCTTAAATTAAAAGTATTAAAATATTATTTTATTAATATATATAAATATAAAATTAAATATATAATAAAAAATATTTTTATATATATACTAACGTGCTAAAATGGAATATTCTATAACTTGCTCCTCGATTTTTCTAAAAAAATACTTAATTCAACTTTTGATTGGACTTTCAATTAAAAAATAATATTATTGAATTAAAATAAATTAAAATTTATTGAATATAAATTATTTTATTATTTATAAATAAAATTTTTATATATTAATAGTATTATCAGGACTCTATCATTCAGATAATCTAAAATTGAAATCGTGTCAATTGTCAAAACCTATTTAATAAAAAATTGATCTATCTAATCTCACAAAAAAATAAAATTTAATAAAATAAAATTAAAATTTTTATATTCTATATTTTACAGCTAAAATCTCTTTATCTTAAATTTTTAGAAAAATTTCTACTCACGCAATGAGAGTATTATGAATATATTGCAATTAAAAAAAAAAAAAAACTTTTGCTCGCTTAGCGCCTTTTTTTTTTTTTCCTTGACAGGTTGCTTTTATTGCAATATATCAACCATGCAATTATTGAAAAAAAAAAAACATTGTAATTCAAATTACCATGTGCGTTATTATTAAAAAAAAATTGAACAAATATTTTTAAAAAAAGTTTAAGTTGATTTTTTTAAAATTATTAATAGTTGATAATTAATATGAACATATATAAAAATTAAAATAAAATATAGATGTATTTTTTTAATTATTTAGTTCAACGATAAATGCATATATCTTGTACTTCAAGAATTAATAAAAATTTAAAATTTAGTAATTAGTTCATATACAATCATTTTTAAAAAATTATATTTAATATATTTAAAATTAAAAATTTTAACTTAAAACTTGGGAATTAACTTAAATGATTCTCGTATTCTCAAATAGATTTTTATATGATTGAGATTTAATTCTCAGTACTTTCAAATTTTTTTTTAAAATTTTTTAAAATTTGATTTTCTTTATAAAAAAATTGCTATAATTTTTTTTATTCTATATTCTGGCCTATTTATAGAAAAAACTAACAAAAACTAAACCAAAAATTACAAAGAACTTTTATTTTGAAATAATAACTATTGCTTAAATTATCCCTGATTCTTGAAAAAAGCTAGAAAAGGCGAAAAATAACTTCCGATAATCCTATTTTGGAATAAGAATAATAGTTTTTCATTCCCACCCCCTCCCCCCACGCCACCCCACCCACCCACCCACCTTAAAACTACACTCAATTTTCTGATTTGATTGATATTAAAATCGGCGTACTCCTACAATCCCCGTACTCGCTCTTCCTTCTTTAGCTCTTTTTGTTTTTGTTTTTGTTTTCTCTTATTTTCTTCCGATCTGAAGCCCATCCGTGGCTTTCACAGTCCCTTGATCTCCTCCTATATCCCAATCACTTTTTCCCTTCTTGCGATCTCACGAAACCCGTGAGGTTTCGATCTCTTTCTCTTGCTCTCTCTCTCTCTCTCTCTCTCTCTCTCTCTCTCTCTCTCTCTCTCTCTCTTTTTAAATTAAGGACAAGGCTATTTGCTATATTTTCTCTCTCTAGGGTTTCCATTAAGGGACGACGCCCCAGTATCCCATCTCATCTCAGGCAAGTCATTCCTTATATTTTCTCTCCTTTTCGTTTCTATACACTGTTTATAATCTCTAGAGTTTGTTTGTTTCCCGAGAAACTATCATGGGATAGCAAAGGAAATAGTTCCAATAATAATAAGAGAAAACTATGGTTTTCACATTTGTGTGCTATCTGATTAAGTTTATTTTTAATGGGAGCGTGATTTGATCTTCTGGGGAACTAAAATAACTGGAAGCCCTTTTATTTTTTCAGTAAATTTTTTTAGGTCTTAAATGAATTGTTTAGCTTTTTTACTTCAAATGTAGATGCTTTATTGCTTGTAGTTTTCTTTTTCTTTTTAATTTTTGGGTATAAAAAAATGAAGCTAAAGAAGTTTTCTGATAATAGGGAGAGTAGAAAAGGGAATTAAGGCATCAATGGTCAACATATAGCTACTAGTAATATCTGTGAAGAAGCAGCTTATGAGACCGGTAGAATGCTGAGAAATCAGGGTTTACTAAATGCTGTGGACAGGGTTGAATTATAAACGTTGAGAAGGGTACTTGTGGACAGGGTTATGTTTTAAAAGTGAAGAGAATGTGAAGCCACTGGACATGGGTTCACTTAAAAGTCTCTTTGGTAGTGCAGGTGTTTGCTGGCCTTGCCTATAAAAAACAATATTGCAAGGAAAGAGAAAAAGGAAGTAAACTATAATTATTGGAAGATCATTTTCCCTGCTCAACTAAAACTTGGAATTTGTTAAATATTTTGTTTCATTTGACTGTTGCTAATGGAGCAGAGAGTTTAGGGTGAAGATAGAAGCAAAACTGACAGTATGCTCTTCATTTTCTATTAGTGAAAAATTATTTTCTTTGACGGTATTACTTGAGAATATTTTAGTTCACATGCCGACTTAAAATGTTGGAAATGCCCATTAAAGATAATTTGTTGTATGGACTTGTGATGCATAGCATATTTGTTGTTGGTATGAAGAGTCCAAGATTAAGGTTTGATTTTATAAACCTCAATCTTTAGGTTTGAGGTGTTTGCGTGGCCATAACCTTTACATTTCTAAGAACTGTTTGTTAAGTTTGTTAATTTGGTTTCTTGTGAGGAGTACTAGTGCTACCAGTAGAGCTTGTAGCATAATTGATTTTCATTTGTTTGTGCAGATATGATTTAGAAAGTTGGCATATAGGTTATAGAAGTTAGCATAAGAGAAACATGTAATAAACAATGTAATGCATATGTATGTTGGACTATGGAGATGTGCATACAAATATTATCTAATGCTTCTTTTGAAATTCGTTTTAACTGACTGTAAAGTGTCCAACTGATGGAATTTACTTGTTCTTTCTTTTCAGATTTTGTTCAATCTGTTTGAATGACCTTGTAACAAAATCTGAATCATGACGTCAAGCATGCCACCTGGAGAACGGAGGTACCTTTTTTAGAAATCAATGTCCTTTGCCCAGATGCTTGTGTGATCAACAATGATGCTTACTGTTTAAACCTGACCATGTATGCTCTGCTACTTGGCATCAAGGTCTTGGTAAATTGATAGAGACTCCTGAAAAAATCAAGCAAAATTTTTTACCTGGGATTTGCTTTATGGGCAGGCTAGGAAAGTTTCCTGGTCTAACTGATTGTATAGAGTCTATTTAAGTGATCATAAGCTGTGTTGAACTAATTAAAGAGGCCAAGGAAATTATTATGGTTATTGTACCTTTATTAGAATGCTATCTTAAATTTTTCTCCCTCTTTGCTATTGTCTTATATCTTCCAGTGCTTTAAATTGCAAAATATAAGTTAGTGGAGAAAAGTTTTGAGAGAGTTTGCTTTAATAATCAATGCTTTCATATGAGATTGGAGGGCAATCTTTATTATTTTCTAGAAATGAATTTGGGAAGGATCACAGATTTTTTTATGTGAAGGCATCCTCTTGTTCTTTTTTTTGTTTTTTTTTTTTGTTTGTAGTTTTAAGTAAACTATATCAGGCTTTCCTCCCTTTTCCCAAAGAAATGGGTACACTTATTTGTTGGTATTATCAGCCTTTGTTGCTTTGTAATTTTGGCATTTCCTTCTTCAGTATGGTACTCACTAATGAATGGTTCTGAGATTATGTGTTGCGATGTGAATTGCTTTCTATTTAAGGATGCTAATATTTTTGTAGATGGACTTCTGCGAGACGAAGTGGCATGACTGTTTTGGGAAAAGTTGCTGTTCCAAAACCTATAAACTTGCCCAGTCAAAGGTACTTTTTCCATTTCACATGTTCTTTCTCTCCTTTTCTCAAGTTTAAATAAATCGTGGTCCTTAGGTTCTTTGCTTTACACTATTCTTTCTCTCTGTTGTTTCAAGGTTAGAAAATCATGGTCTGGATCCTAATGTGGAAATTGTTCCCAAGTGAGTAGTACCATATCTAAATGTCATCTTCCACCCCTGTTGTGATTTATATGAAATATATGAATATCTTTGTTTGGATGGTAGAAATACTTATCAGTAGCTTGGATTGTTCTATGCCTACAGGGGAACCCTTAGTTGGGGCAGCAAATCATCTTCTTCATCAAATGCATGGGGCTCCTCGACATTGTCTCCAAATATTGATGGTGGTAGCAGTTCATCCAGCTATCTCAGTGCCCGCCCTTCATCTGGGGGAAGTGGCACAAGACCTTCAACTGCGGGTAGTGACAGAGCACATGAACCTGCTAATGCCTGGGGTTCAAATTCTAGACCATTGTCAGCTTCTGGGGCATTGGCTTCAAATCAGACATCACTTGCATCTTTGCGTCCTCGCAGTGCAGAAACAAGACCTGGTAGCTCTCAGTTATCCCGGTTTGCTGAAGCTGTGCCTGAAAATTCAGGGGCATGGGGTGCCGCTGGGACGGCAGAAAAATTGGTATGGTCATGTAGTTAATAAGTTCATTGTTCAAAACTGGTATCAACTATAAAGTTACTTATATGGAAAAATTTCTACTTATTACTATTAAGTATTTGCTTCAGTTCATAGTATTAAGCACCTCGTAATTATTATGTTTGTGATAATAGGCTTAAGGTTCCTTTCTAATTATTTGTTATTGGATTATGGTTTGTAGAGCTTGATAAAACATTACTTTTATCATTATGCTATGCATAGAGGTGCTTGCTACATGGTGTGTAGCATTGGTTTAAATGTGTTTTATGTGTTCAGAAGGCTTGATATGGGCTAAGGGAGAGATGTTTTAATATTTTAGGGTTTTGGATAACTTGAACCTTTTTAAATGCTTCACATATCCAGTTCTAGTGCTTCCAAGTTTCCCACCAATGAAGTCCTATGTTATTCTCTCTTGCAGTTTTCTCTGTGATGTCTAAATGTGGCATTTATCATTGTACATTGCAGGGAATGACATCTTCCAAGATTGACGAGTTTTCTCTCACATCTGGAGACTTTCCTACTCTTGGTTCTGAAAAGGATACCTCTGGAAAGAACACTGAGTTGCAAGGTTTCATGCTTTTTTTTTTTGTTAGTTATTTCCTAATTGTAAATTTATCCTTGTGGCTTAAAGTTTGGTCTTCTCGCAAAATGGTACATGAGTGGTTACTGTAGTTTTTTTGTTGTGTTCTCAAGTGAACTTTTTCTCCATGAGAAAGCTTGCTGCACGCTTATCCAGAAAAAACTTGCTGCACCAAATTTTGAACTTATACGTTTAAATATTTGTAGCTTAATCACTTGTATGGCGTGAAGTTCTATATTGAAAGCATGATTTGCTGATGACATCTTTTTGTTACGGAATTGATTGTATCTCATATTGGATCTAACAAGGTATTAGGCATGTGTATTTGTCACGGACCTAAGGGGGAGTCCTGAATCCCACATCGAACATAATAGGAACGTCACTGGGGTATATAAGGGTTCACACCATCTCCGTCTTGTGAGGCGCCTTGTGTAGGACAAAACCGTGAGGCCAGGGGGGCCAGAGCTGACAATACCTCACAAGGGTGTGAACCGTGACGGTCAGGCTGATCTGGGACGCCGGAAGGGTGAATGCCCGGGTCCCGGAGCCGCACGGATTCGGAGCTTAAGTCTCGACCCGTGACAAGTGGTATCAGAGCCAGCCCTAAACCGTTCGATCCACGCCAAGCACCTCGAGGGAGGTAGGCAGGGTGGCCAGCCTCCGTGACGAGGGCGTCACGAGGTTGGGTGTGAGAGAATGTCACGAACCTAAGGGGGAGTCTTGAATCCCATATCGAACATAATAGGAAGGTCACTGGGGTATATAAGGGTTCACACCATCTCCGCCTTGTGAGGCGCCTTTTGTAGGACAAAACCGTGAGGCCAGGGGGGCCAGAGCGGACAATACCTCACAATGGTGTGAACCGTGGCGGTCAGGATGATCTGGGACACCGGAAGGGTGAATGCCCGGGTCTCGGAGCCGCACGGGTTCGGAGCTTAAGTCTCGACCCGTGACATATTGAGGTGGTTGTTATGGTGGGTGATTGAGGTAGTTTCTTGGATTGCCATCAACTCTTAGTTATATGTTTTGTACTTTGTTTTAGTAAAAATAGGATAAATTACAGGATAATTAATGGGTTTATGTCCTTGATTTGGCTATTCTATTTAGTTCCTTCACAACTTGATTAACTTTGATCGCAGAGCATGGTTCTCAATGTCGTCCTGGCTCATCCTCTGGAGTAGCACCAATGAAAGAGAGTACTGGGACTTCTATTGTTGGTCTGTGTGCAATTTTATGTTCCTATCTTTTTGGTTTGGCATCTGCTTTTGTTAGATTGGATATTGGCACTCTGATATGATTAAAATGTTTTTGCATGTTTTTTCTATTTTTCAGTTGACATTTCTGTAAATGCAAATCTAAAGAGTGGAACTGCAAATTCTTGGAGAAGAGATAATCCTCCATACAGTGAAGAGGGAGTCCGACCAAGCATGGAGAAGTGGCATGCAGATCCCCAGGGGCCCCATCCATACCCTAATACTGGTATTCCGCCACAACATTATGATGCTTGGCATGGCCGACCAATAAACAATCATCCAGGTGGTGTTTGGTATAGAGGACCTCCTGCAGGTCCTCCATATGGGCCACTAGTTGCTCCTGGGGGCTTTCCTTTGGAACCACTTACTTATTATCGGCCTCAGATTTCAGGTAGTGCTCTTGGTAATCCACAGCCAGTTCCTCCTCCAGGAGCAGGGCAAAGGGGACCTCATCCAAAAAATGGAGATATGTACAGAGGCCCTATGCCTGATGCTTTTGTCCGCCCAGGTATGCCAATTAGGCCTGTTTTTTACCCTGGTCCGGTGGCCTATGAGGGCTACTATGGTCCTCCCATGGGCTATCGTAATTCAAATGAACGAGATATGCCAGTTATGGGAATGCCAGCTGGCTCGTCTTCTCACAACTGGTATCCAGGTCAAAATGCTCCAGATCCTGGTGTTTCTTATGCCAGGCCCAGTGGCTATGGTCCTCCAGGAAAAGCATTGCCTGCAGAGCATTTGGAATCCGGCCATCCTCATGATACACGAGGACCGTACAAGGTTCTTTTGAAGCAGCATGATGCTTGGGAAGGAACAGATGAAGAGCAGAGGTCAGAGGATATTGTGACAGCCAGTGTAAAGAAGGATGATCAAAAGAGAACATCATCATGGGAAAATGACTGGAAAGCAGATCAGAGGAAGCAGGAAGAAGTGAATATAAGGACAGTTGTTGAGGAAGCTTCCACCCAGATTATTGACCACAATGGAGGGGATTCTATCTTGGGCAAAGTGAAGTCATCTGAAGGTGTGGAAAATGCTAAGGCATATGGCGATATTTCAGTGAAGAAAATGGAGCATCTGGAAGTCTCTGTTGCCACAGAAGGTTCCAGTCTAATTCAGAAAATAGAGGGTTTAAATGCAAAGGCTCGGGCCTCTGATGGGCGATATGACTCTATATCTGTTTGCAGTATGGAGGAGCAGAAAAATAACTCACAAGTAGTTAATGCAAAGGCAAAGCATTTTACAAATGAAGTTGCAACTGGTTCTCATGCTGCATTTCCTGATAGAATGCCTTCTCAAATGATTGGACCTACCTCTAGTGAAGTAGTTGTTTCAGCTGGAGTTAAGAGCCTTGGTTTGCCAGCTTTTGGTGGAGCAGGCATTAACAGGTTGCTTTTTTCTAGCTGCATTTATTTGATAATGTGTCTTTTTTTTTTTTTTTTTCTATGTTGAAGAAAATACTTACATACAGATTTACAGGAGATCTACCCGTAGCATGCATGGTAGAACTGATCATCGAGGCAGGGGAAGATTCAATTCTCAAGATGTTGATGGATGGAGAAAGAAACCTCCATTTACAGATTCGTCAAGAGTAAAATCCACCACACATTCTGAAAATCCTTTTGATGCAATTGTGCAAGAATATATGTCATTAGAGGCTTCAAAGAAGTCTGAATCATATCCCCAAGCAATAGACGAGTCAGAGTCCGTGCCACCTGTATATGATCCAAGTGATAGCCAAGCGCAGGTAATTTTCTTTGTATTATATGCCGGGTTGTTTTGTAGACCTGAAATTTGATGTGCAAATATATTTGAACATGTTCTTCAGCATGCCATGATGAAGGAACTTGCAAAGCAGCGTGTCAAACAACGAGAAAAAGAAGAGGAAGAGCGGGCTAGAGACCAGAAGGCTAAGGCTCTTGCAAAATTGGAAGCGTTGAACAGGCGCACACAAACAGCTGAAGGTTTAACTCAGAAGTTGGAATCTGTTCCAGATAGTGCTGTCCAGAGTAGGCAAGCAGAATCCCGAACACTTGCTGAAGAAACGATCCTCACTAACAGATCTGATGTAACAAGCTTGGTTTCCAACCCATCTGTAGTTGTGGACGTTGGTCAAAGCAGCATCGGGGAATATGAAAAGCTCAATATTTTGTCCAATCAACAACCTTTGGCATCAACAAAAATTGTGCATAAAGCAACTGCAGATATGGATAACCATTCTTTGCCCTTGCAACAGAGAGTTAATAATGCTGATGCTGCTCTCCATAATCACCCACAGTTTAGCGATGGTAGCACTTCAAAGCAGAAGCATGCAGGCTATAAAAAAAAGGATTGTAACTTGGTGGATAAGAGCTCCAGTGAGAAGTATATTTCTAAAAGTACAACTGAATTGCCAAATATTCATACTGATGCAGCAGTTGATGTGGTTCCTTCTACTGAGGCTGTTATAAATGAAATTAACTCAATCTCTGGGTCTATTTCTACACAAAATGTTGTGAATGAGCCCCCAATGCACCAGAGAAGGAAAAATAACAGGAGTGGTAAGAACAAGCACAAAGTGGAGGAGGCATCATCCACAACTCCTTTACCATCTGGGATTTCTAAAGAAATAAATCATACAGGTTCTTCTGTTGAGAGTTCGAAGCCAAAGTCTTCTGAATGTGAGTTGGATCCTAGCTCGTTTCAGTCTCTGACTGGTTTAAAGGATGGAATTCAGTCTTCAGAGCAGGACTTAACTTTTCCTAATGAAGAAGCCTCTGGCCGAGTGAATAACCTGTGGAAATCTCAGCATTCTCGCAGGATGCCTCGAAATCCACAAGCTCATAGATCTGCGGTCCACAGTGGTGATGCTGTTGTATGGGCACCTGTGCGGTCACATAACAAAGCTGAGGTTACTGAAGAGGTCAGCCATAAGTCGGTTGTTGAGGCTGTTGCTCCGCAGGCAAAGAATGATGCTCAAGTGCTGAACAATCCAAGAAACAAGAGGGCAGAGATGGAGAGGTACATCCCAAAGCCTATTGCGAAAGAACTGGCTCAGCAAGTAATTAGTCAGCAACTGGTAGCTCATTCAGACAATCAGACTGCAGCAGATGAGATCGTTGGAAGAGCAGCTTCTGGGTCCCATGGAGTTGAATGTTCTCAACCTGCAGGCACAGCCAAGGGGAAGGTGGGGAACACTACAGAGTCAAGGAATGATGGTAGGCAGAGTAGGCAGGGAAAAGGGCATGGATCTTGGCGCCAACGGGCCTCAGCTGATGCAACTTTTCTAGGTTTGCAAGATGGACATTATTCCAACCCAAGTAAAAATGATCAGAAATCAACTGAGCAGAACCAACACCAGAAGCCTGATCTGAGCCTAGTGAAAGAGCAGCCCAAGTATGATGAATGGAATACTTCCGATGGTTGGAACATTCCTGAAAATCCAGATTCTGCTGTACCACCAGTAGTTCCTGTTGAAAGAGATCAAGGAATGACAGGCAGGGGAAAGAGGCATGCATTCAAGGGACACAAAGGAGGGGGAAACAATTATGATTTTGATCACAAGAAAATTAATAATGGTGAAGCTGATAAACTTAACCCACTATCGTCAGTCCCTGAGATGGTTCAGTTAGATTCACCTGCTGCTTCAAAAGAAAATCGTGGTGTTGGGGATCGATCAACATCTCATTGGCAACCCAAATTATCTGCAATCAATCAAAGAGGAAGCCGGCCTGATGGTGATCAAAATGTTGGGGCTGAAATTGGTAGGACTAGCACAAAGGATTCTACCTGTCAGGGTAGGGTGTTACATCCATCTCAACTAGACAAAGAAACCTATGAAGGTGTGACTCAGCCTCTTGAATATCAATGTATCTCTGAAAAAGGAAGTGTTGAAGAATCACGTAATGTTCAGTATCACGAGTCTAAGAGGGAAAGGAAGGTAGCTTCACTTAAAAGACGCCCCCACTCCCCAAACCAAGGCCCTGGTCTTCCAGCCGAAGCTCCTCCATTGAATGTGGATACTAGAAATGAGCAGCGCTCAACGACAGGTTCCCGCAAAAATGGAAACCAAAAGAACCAATTTGGGAGAGGCCATGAATCTCGAGGTGATTGGGGCTCATCTGGACAAGAAATGAAGCAGCATAACCCAACTGCAAACCGTGAACAGCAGAGGCACAATTCACATTATGAGTACCAGCCAGTTGGACCCCAGAACAGTAGGAGAGCAAATAATCTTGAAGGACCAAAAGATTCTCATGGTACAGGTGCAAGGTTCAGGGAGAGGGGTCAGAGTCACTCAAGGCGTGGTGGGGGAAACTTCCATGGACGGCAAAGTGGCACTGTTAGAGTAGATGGTGGTTATGATTAGTGAGGAAGGAATTCAGGATGGGTTTTTTATTTGGTCAAAAACAGCGCTGCCAAGAGCAACACTGGTTTGATCTTTCAGATTTTCAGGTATTTATGAGTAGGCAGCATTTTCTGTTGTAAAAACTATTAAATCTTCGCTGAACTGATGCCATATGCATTGAGCAGGGCTAGGAGAAAAGCAGAGGCAAAATATAATATCCGTTGATCACTGGTACTCAAAATACGGTTTATTTCATTTGTAATTTTCTAGTGTAATTTGGTCACAGTTTGTATATTGTGGAACCTTGGGCGCATTTGTTGGAGCCTTGTATTTGGAATGAAGTAGCGAAGAAGTTTTATAGTCTCCCACTTCATTTTCATCTTTGTCTGTAATTTGGAATGTACTCGTGCTTGGCATCCGGTCAATCACAATGCTTGATTTTTTTTTTTTTTTAACATCAATCATCATGTTTTTCTCATGTTGTATGTACGTTTATTTTCACGCACTTTTTTATAAATGATCTAGTCTTTCAACAAAGATAAGTAAACACGCGAACACAAGTAGGAATTGTGCATTTGTTCTTGAAAATTTGCATTTGACTACCGTTAAATAAAAAACAATACTAATTATTTATATTAAAAGTTTCTTATAGGTAAGTACATAACTGAAAATTACAATAATAATCAAATAATTCTTTTAAAAAAAAAGATAAACAGGATAAATCAATCGATCAAGGTCAATTGAGATCAATTGTTATTGAGTACAAGTAATAGTTCAGATAAGATGATTTGTACGTTGATTAAATTTATAAACATCGTCGAGTTTTTAAGAAGTTAAATATGTAATATCCTTTAGTGGATTAAGTAGATAGAGGTTGAGAGGTTAACAATAAATTAAAAATTTCAAAAAAAATGTTAAATCATCATTCAATAAATTAATGTATAATTAAATGAAATAAGACTTGTCAATTTATAGATACATATTATATTTATTTCGTATAAAAATATGTAAAATTTAAAAATTATTATGTGATAATTTGCATTCACATACAAAACAAAAACATATGATATTTTATTTTTGTCAAATTCATACGAATTTTGTTAAAATTTTAAATTAATTTATTTTTGTATCATTTTAATATCGTGTCATTGTATCGTATATAAAATGATAGGTCTTCACGAAATCAAAGTTGTTAATCTTGTTTCATATTGACTGTTTTTATTTTTGTTTCAAAATCATTCAAATCTAACCAAGTTTCTGTTGAAGTCTTCCCTTATCATTTTCTTGTGAAGAACTATCCATGGGTGCAATATTGATGAAAGGTTGCAACAAAAATGGCATATATGAACTCCATGCATCTAGTGGCATTCCAGATTCATCATTGCACCAAATAAACCACAAACAACTTTTATCAACTCCAAACCAGTTGTTGTTGATCTTTGGCATAAGAGAGTAGGACATCCATCATCTAGGATATTATAATTTATGCTTAGATCTTTTGGCTTGAATCATGGTTCTTCTAAGAAAGTGTCGAATTGTAATTCATGCCTTTGTAACAAATTCATAAATTACCATTTAATAATTCAAGTCTCATAAGCACAAAACCCATTACAGTTATTATTCACTTATGTTTAGGGTAGTCTTTATATAAACTCAAGTGCTGGGTACAATTACTATGTGATCTTTGTTGACCACTACACCAAATTCACTTGGTTATTTCCATTTAGACATAAATTTGAGGTCATACGTATATTTCTTACCTTTAAACTCCAAGTAGAAAAACACTTTAACACTTCAATTCTCTTCATTTGTTTTGACAATGGAGGAGAGTATCAGGCCTTATCATCTCCACCTGCTTCCTATAAGATCAAGCACCTGCACACATTACCTTGTACACCTAAGCATAATGGCATTTCTAAAAGAAAGCACAGGTAAATAGTTGAAACTGGCCTCGTACTTTTTCACCGAGCTTCCATGCCCACAAATTACTAGCCTCGTGCCCTTCAAACAACCGTGTATCTTATTAACAGAATGCCAACACCAAATTTACAGAACAAAACACTATATGATGTCCGATTTCATTAGAGTCCAAATTATTCTAAACTAAAAGTTTTTGGTTGTCTTTGCTATCATTGAGCCATATACAGAAATAGAACTTCAACCTAAGTTAAAACCTTGTGTGAACTTCACCTAACCAAAGTTATTTCAAATATATAGACTTGTCTACCAATAAAGTGTTCATATCTAGACATGTCATATGTATTAAATCTATTTTTCCATTTGAGAAGGCTTGCAGCAATCTTTATTTGCTATCAGCCACTGACAGTTTGAAACTTATAGTACCTATACATGATTCAGTCATCACTGTGCTTCTTTGTACTTCCACAGATAGTTAAAATACTATATTTATGCCCTCTTCTCACATTAGTGGAGCTCTAGCAATTGATCTAAAACCAGGGAATGATTCTCTCCTTAACACCAGTAACACATAGCTCACAAACACATATACTGCCTTCTGACATCCCTCTTTAGAATTCGCACCACCTTCATAGCAAAACAGCACCAACACACCCTGCCAACCCACCAAAACACATTTGATGACCACACGCTCTCAAAACAATATGTTTAAACTGAAGAAAATATATATTGTATAGGTTTAAAGCTAGATTAGTGGTAAATGGTTTTCATCAAAGGTCTGGCTTAGACTTTAAAGATACCTCGAGTCTAGGAATCTAACCAACAACAATTAGAACAATCCTTTGTCTTGCTCTATAATTTGACTGGCTATTGAAGCAATTTGATGTAAATAATGCCTTTCTACAAGGCAATCTAACAGAAGAAATCAACATGGCATAACCACTAGGTTTTATTGACAAGGATCACCCCACTTATGTTTGCAAACTACATAAAACCATCTATGGTTTGAAACAAGCCCCAAAGGCGAGGTACTAAGAACTAAATAACTTTCTCATACAATTTGGTTTCATTAATTCCACATCTAATGCTTCATTGTTTATATATGCACAGAACTTAGATCTCATCTACTTCCTGGTTTATGTGGATGATATTATCATCACTAGTGACAACCAACATGCTCTTCACAAGTTTTTAGTTCAGCTCTCTTAAAGATTTTCCTTCAAAGACTTAGCAGATCTCTATTTTTTCTAAGGATTAAAGTAATTCTAGGAGCATTTGATCTATTTCTATCTCAGCACTAGTACATCTGAGATATGGAACTCCATTGACCTTTATTAATCATCTAAAACTTTGAGATAGAACAGGTCCAGCTAATGCCTGTAGCTTTAGACAATTAGAATGATCACTTTACTATATCTCTGACAAGGCCAGATATCGCATTCTCAGTCAACAAATTTTTTCAATTCATGCATTCTCCAATAGAACCACACTGGACTAATCTTAAAAGAATACTTAGATATCTAAAAGGGACTATTAATCAAGGGCTCAATCTTACTCAATCTTACTAAGTCATCTTCTCTCAATCTTACAGCATTTAGTGATGTTGATTGGGTAGGCAATTTAGATGACAAGACATCTACATTAGGTTATATTTGATTTCTTGGCAAAAATCCAATTTCATGAAAAATAAAATAGAAGACAGTTGCTAGATCCTTTACAAAGGCTAAATACAAGGCACTAGCTAACATTGCTGCTGAAATTCTTTGGTTTAAAAATCTACTACTCGAACTTCATTTCTCATTAAAACACAAAGCCCTGCTCGTGTGACAACATTCGTGCTACCTATCTAAATGTAAATCCGATCTTTCATTCTAGAATAAAGTATCTAGCTCTGACTATCACTTTATATGACATATACAATCAAGTGCTTTTCAAGTTTCATATATATCTTTCAAGGATCAACTAGCTAATGGATTCACAAAACCATTAGCCAAAAAATGTTTTTTGTTTCTTCGATCCAATACTCATGTATCTAATGGCTCCATAGTTTTGCAAAGGCATATTAAGGCTAAATAGTAACTACAGTAGCAAACCAACACCAATAGAAGCTGCAATAAAGGCAACAACCACAGCTGCATTAGCTTCAGTAGCAAACCAACTACAGTTACAGCTACGACTGTATCTACAAGCTCACACTGACCACTAAAAGCAATAGTGTCAACTATAACAACACTTGAAAGAACATAATACTAGTTGCAGCAACATAATCCAGCATACCAGGATCAACCTTTTGCAAATGAAGGATAGATCCTAGCATCAGCAATTCAGATTGAGGACGAATTTAGCAGCAGCAATATTATATCCACAGTTGACTTAGTAATCTAAATTATATAAATTTAACCTAATACATTTATAGATTAGGATTGAACTTGTAACTAGAAATAAGATCGAACTTATTTAACTTAGTTTATATATATATATATATATATATATACTGTAACACTAATGAATGAAGTGTGGTTGATTTTCATTCAATATTTGTTGCCCTTACAAAAAATGGTGTTGGATCACTAAAATATCATATGAATTCATGCAACCAAAATCCTAATAACATTGGTAGTGCACAAGACCAATTTGTTTTGCAAACTAATGATGTTAAAAGGGAATGAAATATCACAACTTGTACGTTTGATCAAAAGGTAACTAGAAAGAGTTTAGCTTCTATGATTGTGATTCATGAATTACTTTTAAGTTTGTTAAAAGTGAAGATTTTAGAAAATTTATGTCTATTGCAGGTCTTAGATTTCATATTTTTCAAGACATACAATTATAAGGAAAATTTATCAACTCTATTTAGATAAGAAGCAAAAATTGAAACAAGTTTTAAGATGTTCATCTCAAAGATTTGGTATAACCACAAACACATTAACATTCTTGCAAAAAGTGAATTATTTTTGTCTTATGGCTTACTTTTTTTATAATGATTGAAAATTGAACAATAAAATCTTAAATTTATGTCTAATTTTAAGTTATAAAGGTAAGGTCATTGGTAAGTTGTTTGAGAAATGATTGTTTAGTAGGGGAATGATAAAGTGTTCACTATCACATTTGATAATGTAAGTGCAAATGAAATTACAATTAGATATGTGAAGAAAAGATTTAGGCATTGAAGGGTTGCAGTTTAAATGGTCAATACATTCATATGAGATGCATTTGCAAATATTGTGAATTTAATTGTGACTGAAGGTTTAAAAGAAATAAATCAATCAGTAGCTTGTGTTAGGGGGGATAAAATAGGTGAGATAATTTCCTTTTAGATTACAACAATTTAAAAAGTATGTTGAGTTTGAAAAATATAGAGAGCAAAAGTTTATTGTATCTTGATGTTTGTATTAAGTGGAACTTCACCTACTTAATGTTGGATAGTGCTTAAAAATTTAAAAGAGCTTTTGAGAGATTTAAAAAGCAAGAT